TGATTTGCGTCGGGTGCTGCCCGTATGGAGCAATTGCTAAAGAGTTCGTGAGACTTGATTGGGTATAAATTTATGCGTCAATACATACTATACTCTGCTACAGCAAGGTATATCGGTTTCGAGCTCTTGGATTTTGCTTCCCGTAATAACGTGGTAACCATGGCCAAATGGCCGCTGGACAAGGGCAATACGAAGCCGCCACCTGAAGGGAATTCAGCACTAAGTCCCAGAGTAAATTGATGCATGAACGTACCGTGGACATACAAGAGAACCTTCCCGTCAATGGAGGGTTCACCGCGCGTTGGCTTCTCTCCAATCCAGTGCACCCAAGGATTAACTTCCGTAGACGCTGTCGCTAGAGTATCAGAGGATAGCACCTCTTCACTGTGGACTTTGGTCCAATTCATAAATCCCCATATCTGTACGGTGCTCCTGGTGGAAGGCATCATGAATTGCAGGTGCCGTATGCTGAGCCAATACCCTCCTGTTCGAATCATAACGTTTGCTATTTCTCTGAGAAAGGCGCGTCTTTTGTCAGCAGACATGAATACTCTCCACGGGGACCGTGTAACGACAGCCAGTGTCATAGTCCATCCTACAAGAGGGCGCGCCGGGTCAAGCGATCAGAGTTAGCCGGAAAAGGCAAATATAAAACATCCAATAAAACGCGTCAGAGGATGAAAGATGGACGCGTAAGAAGGCGGATACAAACCGAGCACACCAAGTCCGACGACGAGATGCCCAAACTCCGAGAGTGAAAGGCTGATTTTGGGAGTTGTACGCATGATTCCCGGGATTCAGAGAGAAATTTGGACGCCAACAAGGACAAAATGGATGAGTAAAAGGTTCAAAAGAGAGAAATAAGGAGAATGCAAGGTCGTGGTAATGATCAAGAGACGATGAGCAGAGCCAGTGTATGCGGTGCTCTTGGGCTCGTCTATAGAAACGGGGGCGCGGCTACATTGGACGAACAATGCGTTTGGGCTAGTTTGGAAGAGATATTAGCTGCCATGGGGGGACATGATTCTATATTCTCAAAGTATCAGCTACTTGAAACGAGACGAGCGATTCATGAAATAACGTTCTCTCGTGGACGAGTTCAATAGAGAATTCGCGCTCATGAATTCAGGCGTTTTGAGGTGAATTGATCAGATTCATGGTTATTCCTGTATGATCTATCGTTGACATGGGAGGGCAGGCAGAAAGAGAAATT